ACACATTCCCGCATCCCTGGCACAACCCACACTCTCCCATGCTCCCTGGCACAACCCACACGCTCCCACATTCCCAGGCACAATTCACATGCTCCTGCATCCCTGGCACAACTCACATGCTCTCACGCTCCCTGGCACAACCCACACGCTTCCGCATCCCTGGTACAACCCACACATTCCTGCACTTCCTGGCACAACACACACATTCCCGCATCCCTGGCACAACCCACATGCTCCCGCACTCCCTGGCACAACTCACATGCTCTCAGGCTCCCTGGCACAACCCACACATTCCCGCACTCCCTGGCACAATCCACACATTCCCGCATCCCTGGCACAATCCACACTCTCCTGCACTCCCTGGCACATTCTTTTTTTTTTTTCAAGTGAAGCCCTACAATGTTCAGTCTTGTTCCCACAGAGTGACACCAGAGCTCCACAGCCCAGGTGTGTGTGACCCTGGGGCAAGAAGGAGGGCTCAGGACACTTTGCCTTTGAATTGTCAAAAGAGATAAGGGAGACTATTGGGGGTTTTATGTGCTCTGGGCTTTGTGGTGGGGCAGAAATGTCAGTTTGCTAATCCTCACTTGACCTTATAAGAAGCTTTGGGCAAAACTATGAACTTTGACAAAATCATCTGCATTTTGAACAGTTATGGAATCCTTCTTGCTCAAGTCCACGAGTCTGCTTGAAAACCATGCAGCTGCCTCCAACAGGTTGGGCTCAGGGGTCATGTGTATCTAGGTCATATGTGCCCGGATCCCTTGGGCTTGGGGACGATTTGACAAATTTTCCTGTAGCAATTACAGTAAAAGGGATATCTGTCTGTCTGTCCGTCTGTCTACCCATCCGTCCGTCCATCCATCCATCCATCCATTCATCTATTCATCCATCCATCCATCCATTCGTTGTTCACCCATCTTCCTTTCTTTTTTCCTTCCCTTTTCTCTTCTCTCTTCTTCTCTCCTTCTTCTCTCCTCTCCTTCCTTCCTGCCATTCTTCTATTCTTTTTTCTTCTTCTTTTCTTTCTTTTAAGACGGGGTTTCATGTAGTACTGGCAGCACCAGCTCCATGATGATGCCTGCTCTCTGGTTTCTGATAGCTCCTGTGTTCACCAGCTGAAGATGGTGGATGATTTGTGTCTCTGTAGTCTGGCACGGCCCTCTAGTGGAAAGCACTCCCAAGCCTTTCCTTGGCCTGATTGAGAGACTGCTGTATGTTGATGCAATCAGGTCTACTCCATGCAATCTTCATGTGCGTGTCTTTATATGTCTACTGCACAGACGAGCTTGTCTAGCACTCACCAGCCTAGGCATTGGAGTGCGGGCACTCATGTGGAAAAAAGCCATTAGCTTCTAAAATTCTGGCTCTCCTTAGATATTGATGCCTGTCTTCCTTTCCAGTGGTCTGCAGTCAAAAGCAATTGTCAGTCACAAAAGTCCCTCCCTAATTTGCTGTGGTAATGTGGGCGACAGAGAAATCCCAACATTGACAGCTGCTGTCAGAGTCTCACTAGAATTGCAGAGGAAGCAGGCAAGCTCACAGCTGTGAGTGAAACACCCAGGACAAAACTGTTTGTAAAAGGACCAGGCTGAACTGCGCTTCTAGCTACTCCATAAACACGAAGTACCCAGAAAACTCCATGTCAGAGGATGGTGCCCAACTCCTTTTAGACAGATTGAAGGGGTTTAAGGGACGGGCTAGAGCAAGTCTGTTGGGTGCAGTGGGCACAGAACGTGGGGGAGGACAGGTAGCATGCTGGGGGAGCATCTCCGTCTCTTTCCACTCCTCTCCCTTTCCTTCTCCCCTCCTGTACTCTTTTGTCATTCTTCCTCCTCCCTCTTCCCCTCCTCCCCTTCCTCCTCCTCCCCTTCCTCTCCCTCCCTTCTCATGCTCTTCCTCTTGCCACTCTCTTCCTCCTCCTCCTCTTCCTCCATCTTCTTTCTCCTTCCCTTCCTCCCCCCTTCCTCTTCCTCCTTCTTCTCTTCCTCCCCTCCTTCATCCTCCTCTCATTCACTTTCTCTTACAAGTGACAGAAGAAGAAAAAGTCCTTCTGGTTTCTTTGGCCACAAATCCAGCAGTGCTCCTCCAGCCCTCTGGGTCAGTTCACGTCAGCGTTATGCCAGGCACTCCTGTGGCATAGCAGTGAATCATTGTATATGCAGGGCTCCGGACGGTAGGCGCTGTCTCTGCTCTGTCGGGGGTCTTCCCCGCAGCTCCACCACGGACCTTTCCCACCTTAGCCTTAAGGCCAGAAGCAAAAGTCCAGTTGAAGGGCTCACCGTGGCCATTTCTGAGTCCTGGCGGTGTTCTTCCTGGTAGTCTGGGAAGCTGGCTTTATTTGCCACTGCGGTAGTGCCCCTTATAGTAAGAAGGCTTGTCTGGTGACTCGGGGTTTGAGAGGACCCTGAGCCCAGCACCGGCACCCACACGGTTCCCTCGACTGTCCCCTCCTCTGATGGCTGGCCTTTCTTCCACAGAGCAGCCTCTACAATGAGGACGGCCTGGGCGTGGCGACCCTCAGCACCATCTACTGTACTATGATGTTGTCCTCCATGTTCCTCCCACCTGTCCTCATCAAGAGGTTCGGCTGCAAGTGGACCATGGTGGGCTCTATGTGCTGCTACGTCACCTTCTCCCTGGCCAACTTCTACCCCGACTGGTACAGCCCTCTAGCCAGCCCTCCCCAGTGCCTGTCCCTTGCGCTCTCATGCAGATGGCTGTCCTCTGCGACTGAGTTAGAATATGCCCCTCTGAGCACTGTGATAGCATGACACCTCTCGATCTTCCCTGTGTCCCCGCCGATTTCCTCCCATACTCCTGACCCCAGTGCTGACCTCTTCTTGGGATTTCCCCCACCTCCTCACAACCCCCTGCCCTCGCCACATCCTCACGGCCCAAATGGTTAGGGAGTCTGATGTAGGTGATTCTCAGGGATTCAGCCAACAAGGGACCGACATCCATCCCCTGTATCCTCAGCTTTTGAGTGTGGACCGCACTGGCCTCTTTGGGCACACCCTGACCCCCCTCCATCCTGCTGGGCATCTGTGTGGATGCACGCTGATCCCTTCCTCCGCTCTGCTGGGTCTCTTTGCAGGCACACCTTGATCCCTACTTCGGTCTTGCTGGGCCTGGGTGCAGCTCCCCTGTGGTCGGCCCAGTGTACCTACATCACCATCATGGGAAGTTTGCAAGCGCAGAAAGAGGGGAAGCTGGCCAAGGATGTGGTGAACCAGTACTTTGGCCTCTTCTTTCTTATATTCCAGTCTTCCGGAATGTGGGGCAACCTGATTTCCTCGCTGGTGTTCAGCCAGGCGCCCAGTATAGGTAAAGTGTGAGCGCTGAGAAGCCTCGGGAATAGCCAGGGCTCCATGACAGCAAGACAGCAAAGTGAGGTCCCAGGGCCACTTCCATATCTGTCCTTACTGTGGAGGCAGGTGATCCGACCCCTCTGGGGGCTGTCTTTTCCACAGGTACCCTGTGGAGGTTGGGGAACCCCTGGGGAAAGGGTATCAGGAGAAAACTGGGCGCTCCCAAACTCCTGCTGGTGTCACGTGGGTCCCTGGAATTGCTGAGAGTTTACGTGACTTATTTCTCTGTAAAACTGAGCCACAGGCCAGTGTTAAAACCACCTGTCAGACTCCTTATCCCATGACTGGGAGAATGTTCCAGGTCTGCCTTCCCTCAACTCCACCCAGCAGAGACCCCAGCCTGGAGGACTTCCAGCCTTCCATTCTTACAACAGAGCCTTCTGGAAGGGACAGTCTGGGTGAGCATGGCCTCTCTGCCTCCATCCTGGCACGAGTCTGGCTTCTCCCGGGCCACGTGCTGACAGGAAGCTCTGAAGTCACCACTTTCCTCTCTTCATGGTGATAGTGTGTCTCAGGCATGAATGACGCAGGGCAATGCAGGTGGTCACAGTCACTGCCACTCAGCCAAGATGCTGCAGAAACTGACGTCAAACCCAGCCTCTGTGTCACGGCAGGGGAAGGGCCGTGGGCTGCTCCTAGATACAGTCGGCTACCACACTCATGCCCTGAGTAGTGAGCTGATCAGTCCCCCGTTGGCATTGCCCAGACACTAATCTCTCCTAGATGACAGGCCCTCATGCCTCACAGATGTGCCCAGGGGCTGTCTCCTATGTGAGTCGAGATCTGGCAAACTGCCAACACTAACATCACACACAGTAGCTTCAATTTACATGTGTGTGTGCATGTTAGGTAGGTAGTCACCGCCAAACCAACCACTTCATTCCATATATATATATATATATAGGGTAGGAGTGGTTTTTTTTTTCTTCATGTGTGTATATGCACCATGTGCAAGCAGGTGCCAGAGAGGGCACTAGATTCTCTGGAACTGGAGTTACATACAGTTGCCTGCCAGCGTTGGGTGCTGGGAACCAAACCTGGGTCCTCTACAAAAGCAGCCAGTGCTAACTGTTGGGCCATCTCTCCAGTCCCGCACTGGTTGTTTTGCTTTTTGTTTTTGTTTTTTAACAAATAGAAGAACTAGCATTCGTTTCCTGAAGCAGAAAAGACAAAGTCACCTGCCCCAGGTGACCACCACCCTTTCACCGCCGATTTTGGCCTCAGATAGACTCCTTAGTCCCTAGGATTCTCACCTCATCTTGATTTCAACTTCACTAGTGGCCATCTCGGAGGATCAGCTCAAGTCCTGTGGGGCCAAAGACTGTCTGATGGACACAGAGGTCAGCAATAGCACCTATCGCCCCTCCCACCAGCTAATCTACACACTCCTGGGTATCTTCAACGGTACGTACAGAAGCCCAACCTCTTACTGTGGTGAAGGTCCCGCTCCTCCAGCCCATAAGTGAACTTTGTCCATGGAAACCCCTGCCACACCTACCTGGTCAAAGAGATGCCATGATCACAATGGTGGTTTTCTCAGGGTAGTGCTTGTCCATTGCACTCTGGCTACGTCTGACCCCTGTGATTTCCCCACATTAATTTGTGATAGTGGGGGACTACGTCTGTGCTTGCTTTAATATATAAAGCAAAACCCCAGCCCATTGTAGGACTGGGCCAATCTCAATGGCTGATCTCTGAAAGCAAACTCAGCGGCAAATGCTGTCCAACCAAGCTACATGTGGCCATGCAATATGGGGGTGCACAAATCTAAAATGAGGGTGTGGGTAAAAAAGGGAGTAAAAAGGGGGAGCCAGTGAGGTGCCCCAAGTAACTTCTGTCTTCCTGCTGTCCTTGGTCATCTGCAACTTAGACATTTGTTCATCAGATATCCTGTTTACGTCCACGTGGTGATGGGGACAAGGAGGTCACCCGGCTTGTGATTTCTCAATACCTACCCCATCCCCTTTCTGCAGTGGGGGACCAGACACCCATGGAAAGCACTGGGATTTCTCTCCCCCACTCCTAGACAGCCACAGAGAACCTGGTGTATGAAACAGCGGGGCTCGTCAGCTGAAGTGGCACGGTTTCTGGTTGGCAGGGTCAGGCAGTAGAGAAGTCAGGCTTTGAGCGTCACGTGACCTCGCTGCATTGCTCACTGTTGTCTTTGTAGTGTGGGGAAAGACAAACAGGTAGCCCTGGTGAATGAGTGGCGTCTTCAGTGCTGCTCAGTAGAACTTTATATGCCTGGAGAATTCTGTCACCCAAGTAACCGGTCAATTGGCTTAGATAAGGAGACCATGGCCCAGGCTGGGTGGAGACATTACCCTATTCTGATACCTGGACATCTGCTATGAGTCTCTTTTAAGTATGCTACTGTAAACAAATAAGACAGGACAAAGTGGGCAGTGGTGCCCGAGTGCCCTCCCCCTGGGGAGATGGTCTGGGGCTCTGGGAATTGCATACATAATGAAGCACTTGGAGTGTGCCTTTAGAATACAGCACCTCAGTTCCACGACACCACTTCACGCCTCCGAAGGCTCAGGGCCACTTGGCATCGGATACAAACACCTCTGAGGACGTGACTTCTGAGACCAAGACCCTCCGAACTCACAGGCTCTCCCTGTTTCTTGTTAGAGACCGTGTCCTTTAGAACACCCCAAACTTGAAGTCTTTTGCAGCAGAGTAGGCCATGGAGAAGGAGCCACCGCATCAGTGAGGAAGAGACAGGAGTTTTCTACCGTTTTTCCACAGCCAACATTGGGATGGGCGGAAAGACAGAGTGCTTCCCCGGACAGACACCTACCTGTTCATGTAAAGGCTCACTGCGATGCTATGGCTCCTCCCTTGAGGCCTTGTGGTTCTTCCACAGCGGGGCACAGCCACGGGTCCCTGACAAGAGATGCCCAACCTCGTAGAACCCGATAAGCACAGCTGAAATGTTGTGCTCAGGTGACTCAGGAAGGCTGTTTAGTCATGAGGGAAAACAGCTGAGTTACAGAAAGCCTTGAGGGGATCCAGACTGTCCTGGGCGTAAGTTTGTTAAAGAGGGGATTACTATGATGGGTGCTGAGACGGGGTGGACCACCTCTGCCAACATCTGTGAAGACAGCTGGCTTCATCAAGCCTGCGGCTCAGCAAGGCTGGGCCACAGTGTCATGGGAGTCCCTCTGAAAGGGAGGGACTGCAGGACCCATGCTCACCGACTGAAGCTCACACCCAGAGTTTGGGCATTTCCATCCTGAGGGAACTACCTTTGTCAGAAAGTGAAAAGGCAGTGCTCAAAGAAGTTACAAATGGCAGCTCACAGTGCTCGGGGACAAAGGGACCTCTGTGTACATCAGAACACCACATAAACCTGTTTCCTGTGCAGGAAGATGGAGGGACCGGGCAGTAGGCAGATGGTAAAGACAGACTCAGTTACTCGCTGCATTTTGGGATTTAGAGATGTACAGAAGGTTCAGGGTGAAATAGTTTTAGGTTCTTATTTTCTTTTTTTCACAGATAACCCATTATTATGGTTCAAAGTACAAATGCATATAGCACAATTAATAAAAATCTAGAGACAGAAATTGGGGTCCAACTTGAAGGTCAGAAAAGCAAAACAGTCAGCCCCTAGCTCTTACCTCTACCTCAGTCCGAAATGGCAATCCTGCCTCCAGGAATCTCTGAGAGAGCTGTCTCCTCCCGTCTTCTATTCCTCTCTAGTGCTGGGATTAAAGGTGTGTGTCACCACTGCCTGTAGACTGACCAGTGGGGCTATTTACTCTCCGATCTTCAGGCAGGCTTTATTTATTAAAATACACTGCGCATCACTACAAATGGAGTCAAAGGTCCCAGGACCCTTGGTGCCCTCTGCTAATTGTCCCTCTAAGCCCACTCCTCTCTAAGGCCTGTCCTTAAACAGCGTTCAGGGTGTTTAATGCACAATAGATTTCTATGTCCCTTTTTGACTGATCAAACCTTTGTGTATTCCTGTGTTTTCCTCTCGTCATCTGGCTTGGGGAACTTTTTTTTTTTTCATCATCTTTAAAAGTGTGTTGTTCCTCTGTAGGTGTGGCCACGCTGACCCATCATGTGTGGGTGATGGCCTTGCTGACCCACCGTGTGTGGGTGATGGCCGCGCTGACCCACCGTGTGT